AGAGCTGGCCCCTTATCAATCCTTTGTGGATTTTAATATGAGGTCAGGTCACCTCGGCACATATAAAAAAAGCTTTGAGGCGCAGTTTTGTTCATAGGTGGTCTGTTTCTTCACACATTTGCTGTCATCTAAGGTGAGTATTGCTATCGTACTCTGGTGGTGTTTCTACTTTCTTCTGATAAAATGTTATCCTGAGCCTTTTGTTGGCGTCTGAGAGAACAGGTCGCTTATGTATTCGACTTTATAGGCTCTGACGAAGGCGAAACCGCCGAAATGTTAGCGAATAAAGGATAGTTAAAATTTTGGTCCATTGCTAAAAACAGCTACACTTCATAGCAAAGACTAGTCGTTGACCACACCAAGCCCTTTAATCCGAGAGCATAACCTCCCAAACCAATATTACATCACTGGTTTACTGTTTGAATGAAGCGAAGAGTTGGATCAGATGTTGAAATGTTTGGATTCTTTGCATCTGTAATTGCATATGTACCCAGCACAGACTAATTTGTTGAATTTTACTAAGAGTGGATCACCGACCAATGTTCTTGTAAAACAATGTTATGTGAGTTAAGTTCGGTAAGGGTCAGATATTAGTGGCTCTTCGTTTTCACTCTCGTCCAGTCGGAAGATGCGATTAATATCGGCTCATCAAGTTAGCACAGAACTAGTCACTAATGCAGAACTGCTGCGTTTGCTTTTCTCATACCTCGTTACCTCTCCCCCTGCTACTTCTTCGATCATTTTCTAACTCTCTTCATCTTCTACCTAATTTCAGCAGCTATACACGCTATTTTTCCATCTTATGATCGTTATGACGTCGGTTTTCTTATATTCATTGTTCTTATGCTTTGGTGGATCTTCCTTAATCTACAGGTTCGTGGTCAATTCGGTTCCATGCATCCTTTCCTTTCCTTTCTTATTGTCACCAGAACCGGGGTGAGCAGAATCGCTATTCTACTATGTTGTCAACATAAGTTGTGTGTACAAAAAAATATTGTCCTCTTATGAAATGAGGGTTTGACATTTTATTAGGTGATCATCTGCAGTGGCTATCATAAATGAGATATAGGGTTTGTCTGTAAGAGCATATGGTGTAGTCTGCGAGTACGGCCTCAATTTTTGTCAGTTCAGTTCCAAACTTTTCTGGAAGTGAACAATTTTTTATGAGCATAATATTCCTTTCATAGAAGCCAAGTTTACATTGTTTACTATGCTAAATCAATCAGATTAAAGGCTTACACTGCATATATCACTTGAAATAGTATGTTCCAAATAACTGCGATTAAAATATCGAAGTGATGTCGGT